GTGTGTGTGTGTGTGTGTGTGTGTGTGTGTGTGTGTGTGTAGCTTTTGAGCTTTTTTTCCTGTGTTTAAATGCTTTTATAATTCACGGGTCAAAAATGACCATAAGACAATCTTTGGACCCTAAGGGTGTACAGTCCACATGGAAACATTAACAAAAACAAAGTGTCACTTTTTCTAAAGTTGGGGTCCCTTGAGGAAAAGGCATACAATTTCAAGTTGGAAAAATAAAGTTTAAGATATTTTTTTACAGGTAAACATGGTAGTGGGTCACTTTTGACCTGCAAGTCAACACATGGGTTCATGAGAATTTGAGAAGATTGGAAACCAAATTTCAACTAGGCTCTGGATGAATGAAAAAAAAGTTATATACAATATAAAAAAAACAGAAAGATGGGGTTTATGTCATGTTTTAAATTAAAGCTGTTAATATTGCTATGCATTTTTAATGTACAGTAAATACAGTATGTATATATAGATCTTCATTTTTTCACGGCTTCATACTCTCCTGGTATAAATAAAGCATTTTTTTAAATTTATTTAAGCTTTGATGAAACTTCAAATAAACTTTAGTGGGGCCTTTGATACACAATATTTGAAAATAACATTTAGAAAAAGCTTATTGTATCTATTCTTGTTAGATTTATAATTATTTCTTTGGCTGTTCTTTCTTTAGGGGTTACCACATGCTCATGTCCTCTCAAACTCCATATACCTCTTCTTCACTCTTTCATATTTTCTTGACAGCTGCATGTCTAACATCCTTTTGTAAACCCGCTGTCCCCCTAAACTACATAGTATCTCTGTCTGGCCTCTCTTACTTTATCTCCCAGTCATTCATCCTGTGCTGTAACTCTAATGATCTCATTCCTCTCACTTCCAAAAACAACTGTAACATCTTCAGCTGTCACTTCCACTTCTATATTCTTCTTTTAAGAACTCTAAGAACAATAAACAGTCAAGAAGAAGTAATAGAAATATGGAAAAATCTTTCAAACCACCCTGTTCACTGAACTCTGCACATGAACTGCAGGAGGAAAACAACAGGAACAGATGAAGTGGCTGCAAATGTAAAATCAATCATCATTTAGGATAGTTCCTTTGTGGCGGTGGCTCGCCCGCRGTTCGTCTTGTGCCAGAGTGCCGTCAGCATCATGAAAACTGACTGATCTTGCACTCAAAGAAAAAAAGAAGAAAGAAATGAAATGAAAAGAAAGATGCAACTGCCACACAGTATATACTGTATAGTCTTTTTTCTCATTGTCACTTTCCTCATGATTACTCCTCCTGACAGACTGTTGTCAGAAAAGCTGCTGAAATGTACTTCACTAGCTCCTTTTTGTTGGTGTCTTCTCAAAGACCTAAAATAAAATCAGCCCTAAGTGATCAACATTAATTTATCTCMGTGTGTGTGACTCACTCATTTAAAAACACACATTCATGCAAAACACACTTTTTTTCTCTGTTTTATGTCATGGTTTCTTCAGCTCTTGCCAATTAAATTCTACAAATTTCATTCTCTTAAACATATATATTTTTTAGGTTTAAAAACTCCTAAATAGAATTTGCATTCAACATTTTGTTTCTACAAGCAAACAATAAAGTTTTATTATGACTTTTACAGTCAGTATAACTCCAACATCAGACAGCTGATTTATATGACAATAGACTTTTTTCCTTCTAAATCTTGCCAGCATTTTTGTTCTGAAGTCAAAATATTAGATAGATCCARTTACTCGAGACGTTCTACCTCACTAGCTGTGTAGCATCTGTGGTCATACAGTAGAAACTGTGGCCTTGGCCATTTGGAAAACAAATTATCCATTATAGGTGGCAAATTTGGCACAGTCATTGACCGCAGGGCTATGAGTAACAGCCTGTCTTTTATCATTTGCAGCTTCACAGCCTCACACCCTCACTGCAGAAGAAGCYGTACATTATGTTGAAAGGGCCAGGAGCTAACGGACAGCCACTCTTTAAACACTCTGATGTGTCTGATCTCACGTGCGTTTTGTGTCTTTTGGCAACAACAGGCTTTATATGTAGTCCAAGCAGCTGATAATCCGTTTTGGCAGAACTGTTTTTTTATGAGCAACTTCGGGCATGATATGAGGTTTGGATTTTTTTAAATATAATTTCCCACCAAGACCTCATCTTATGCAGTAGATAAATGAATCATACTCTTTTGATTAACAAACAAATTACAGGAATTGTTACTTTTTTAAGCAAAATGCATATTATATTATATATGAATTTATATTATATAGAATTTCATTCATAAAATATGTAAAGTAAAAAAGACAAAGGCCCAATAATTATCTCAAATTTCAAGGATAGGTTGTTGTCTTAAATTTGGCAAATATCTGAAAAGAAATTAATTGTGCATGCCTTGACACACACACACACACACA